CCTGCTGTTGGCAGCTGGTGTTGGATTGGTGCCCGGACATTCAGTGCCTTCACGTGGAGTGGTTTATGCCATCTCCACAGTGTCGGACCCAGTCAACAGAGAAGACCAAAGACCACTCCTTTGCCCAGGAAGCTCCCATTAAGCACCTCCCACAGCCTGTGCCGAGCCCTGGAGTCCCTAAAGTGAGGGAGACGCGGTCCCGTTTCTAAGAGTCCTCAGTACGTACTGGTGGGGGCACACAGATGTGCAGACAGGCCATTAGGGTCCTGAGATTCAGGCTACCTCAAGGCAGCACAGACCAGCAAAGAAACCCGCTAGCAGTGCCCTCCCAACTCCCTCTTCTGGGACCACCGAGAACATCGGGAGGCCAAACAGACCTGTATTTGGTCTCAGCTCCACCTCTAGGTCAACACGACCATGAGCAAGTGACTTAATAATACGCCTGAACCTCAGTTTCCTTATCTGTAAAATGGGGAGAGTAATAGTACAGTCCTTGCTTATGGAGCACCGTGAGAATGTGATGACATAAGCCACAAGAGCTCTGGGCGTACAGGTGCTGAAGGGACAGTGAGCGCCTGGCTGCTGTGGCCTACCGTTACCACCATTCAGCCTCACAAGTTCCTGCCTTGGATGGAGTCAGTCAGTCATGCAACAAACGTGGACGGGGCACTGTATCTGTGCCGGGCCCAGTGCCTGACGAGGGGGAGCAAAAATGAGCGTTGCTCACCACCCAGGGAGGAGCAGATATGGAAATACACTTGCCACAGAATGTGACCGATGTTCTTATCGATACCGTATAAGGCCTAGTTCTCTGAGGCCGGCCTCGTTTATACTTCACCGTGGTCCTTTAGAAGGTACACATCACTATCCTTATTTCACTGATGAGCAAACCGAGGCGCAGAGAGGCAAATCCACCTGCCCGGGGTCACATAAACTCTGCCTGTCTTTCTGTCTCGGAACCTATGCTCTGTCCTCACAAAAGCAAATCTCGTTCCTCCAAAGTCTTGTACAAATGTGGGCTCATTCTGTCAGCGAACGCCTACTACATCCCTGCTACATGCCGGGTCTGGACGGAGGTACACCAGGAGAGGAGCTGAATGGGCCGTGCCCCCCCCCCCCGGCCCCCACCTCCAGCCAGGAGAGAGGTAGATCTGGGGCATGTTGGGGCGCTGTCCCCGTGTCTTCTTGGTAACACTGATGAGGGACCTTTTGGCACTGACCTGGCCTTCCCTCCCCCATTAAAGTGCCCAGAGGGCTGCTGGGAAAGGCCAAGGGAGGGAAGCTGTGACAGCTTTAGGCCCCCAGGGCCAGCCTGGCTCTGACTCACCACCCACACCTGGCGTTGGCCTCAGGCAGCCGGGCTGCTGGAAATAGACCCTGGGTGGAGAGGAGCAGGAGCAGGGGAGGGGAGGGGGTGGGCGGGCAGGGAGGTGGCACCTGCATGCGTGGCTGCCATTCCCACCGTCCCCACCAGGAAGCAGAGAAATGTCATCCAACAGATCCCACGCGAAATAAGCCAGGCCTGGGAACGAACGCTCCCTGGGGGCTGAAGACCCCAGCCTACCTGGGAGGCTGCCCCCAAGCCTGAGGGTTGCAATAAAAATAATGGCGGGGCCTCGGTGCCTCGCTTCCCACAACGGCTCGGTGGTTCTCGAGCACTTGCTGTGTGCCAGTCTGGCCTAAGTAAATGCTTTGCATGTGTTGGTGATCTCACTGAACTCCCACAGCTGCCCAGGAGGTCGTACTGTGACCTTGCCTCTTACAGATGAGGAACTTGAGACTCAGAGAACCAAAGTAAGTGCCTGAGACAACACTGCGCCTTGCATTAGGCAACGGGAAATCGCCTCAAGCTCCCCGCTCCCCGCTCAAGTTCAAATGGCTCATTCTAGGTCACGCGTGCCAGCTCTGTCCCCATCTGCCCTGCCTGTATCACCTTCCCTCTTTACCAAGGTAAAGCCTCCCTCCTTAGCACTCTGGGAAGCAGAAATCAAACCGTAATCCTTAACCCTGCTCAGCTTTCAGCCCATGTCGGATCATGTTGTCTCCCTGTCTCAAACCTGCAGTGGCTCCCCATTGCCCTCAAGATAAAATGTATTCAAGAACCTTTGTACACTGGGCCCTTCCCACTTCCCCAGCCTCGTTGCTCCCTAATCTTTGCTTGGGCAAGTCAGGACACTTCCCAAAGCTCGCTCTCCTGGTGGGCATGGTAACCCTTCTGCATAGTAATGAGGATGAAGGGGCCAATCGATGATGCATGTGAGGTACCTGCCAGGGCCCTTGGTGCATACTTGATGTTTGGTAGACCTTCCCGCTCTGCTACTGGGTCTGAGCCAGAGGCAGAGTTGTGGTGCGGGAACCGGTCTCTGCTTTCAGCCAGGCTGGGGTCAAAGGGCTCTCTAGCGGTCTAGCCCGAGGACTGGTCAGTGCTACTGGAATTCAATCATGCTGAGAAAATTTGAAAGACTTCAGGGCAGCAGTAGTTGGAACTAGGGGAGGGGAAAAGGGCAAGGGAACCGTCGGTAGAAATGTAAAGTGGTAGGCCACTGTGTTGGCAGCTCCTCAAAAAAATTAAAAACTCAACTACCACTTGACCCGGTGATTCCCTTTCTGGGTGTACGCCTGAAGGAATTGCAAGCAGGGTCCCAAAGAAATGTTTTCACACCAGTGTTTATAGCAGCATTAGCCACAACAGCTAAAATGTGGAAGCAACCCAAATGTCCCGCTTCCCAGATGAGGACACTGAGGACCTGTGTCTTACCCAGCGACACGGCAACCCACTGACGAATGAATGGATAAGCAAAATGCGATATACGCATCCAATGAAATATCACGCAGCCTTTAAAAGGAGGGAAATCCTGACGCATGCTTCTACGTGGATGAGCCTTGAGGCCATGATGCTGAGTGAAACGAGCCAGTCACAGAAAGGCAAATACCACGTGATTCCACTTCTAGAGTAGTGGGATTCAGAGAGCTAATGGAATGGAGGGGCACCTGGCTGGGTGAGTCAGTGGAGCACACAACTCTTGACCTCCGGGTTGTGGGTCCAAGCCCCACGTAGGGTGTCGAGATTACTTAAAAATAAAATCTTTTGAAAAAGAAAAAAAAGAAAAGAAAAAGAAAGTCAAATGGAGGTTGCCAGGGGCTGTGGGGAGAGTTTCAGTTTCACAGATGAAAAGGTTTGGAGATGGATTGCGGTGAGAGCTGCCCAGTATGAATGTATCGAACACCACTGAGCTGTATGCTTAAAAGTCGTTAACATGGTACATTTTATGTTTGTGTATTTCGCCACAAGAAGAAAAATTGGAAAAAAGGGGCAAAAGAAACCAACTTCCCTAATCGGCTTTTTTACCTTCACCACAATCTAGAAGGTAGATATAGCCACTCTACACTTGATCTTAGCCAAAAGGCAGAGAAGCAATAGATATACCCACTCTACAGGGAGGGAAGCTGAGGTCAAAAGAGTGAAGATTCACAGGGGGAATCAGGGACAGCCAGATCCGGAAGCAGCTCTGTCAGGCTCCAAAGCCCATGCTGTTGTTCTGCCCGTACCCAGCACTCTGAACCTGGAGGATGAAGAGCATCAGCTTAGAAAGGGAGGGCAGGGCGGTGTGTGTGTGTGTGTGTGTGTGTGCGTGTGTAGGGTAGGGGGCACTGGACAAAGAGCTCAAATGGAAGCCTAAGGCAGGACTGGTTGCAGAACTGCAGGCACATATGAGGTAAATAGCTGGGGCGAGGTCAACCGTGGCATGCGGAGAAGCCTGGACTTCCTCCTTCCTCCCTTCCCCCCATTTCCCAGATGAGGAAACTGAGGACCTGTGTCTTACCCAGGCCTCCATAATGCAGTGGGCAAGTGCAGGAGAGGGCTGAGGCAAGAAAGAAGGGGGACCCAGGCTGGGCAGCCACTGCCACCTCTCCCTGTCCCCAGACTACCCCAGGACCACCCTCCCACCCCCACCTCCAGGCTTGGCCTGGTCTCCTGATTTACAGGTGGGAGTGACTCAGGCCGGGGGCCTTCTCTAGTGGCCCCAGTCCCTGGACCACAACGGAGCTCTGGGCCTCTCAGCTGTGATGTCAGTGGGCCCTTCCTTCCTCCCACATCTGCTTGAAAGGTCACCTATTTTAAACTCTATCTCACCCCACCCTGTCCCTCCCCCCCCCCCAACCAAAGAGGATGACTTTTTCTAACCTGTGTCAACCACTCAGTTCAATATCCAAACAGCTTCCTCCTCTGGTGCCCATCACTGGGGCCTCCACTGCGAGAAACCCCCAGCAGATTCCCCAGGTGACAGAAGCCCACCCTACCTGCTTTTTCATTTAATAAACAATCTCCTGTGAATCTACTGCATGCCAAGCACTGTCCTGGGTCCCCAGGGAAAGATCCCTGCCCCCCACCCCACCCCCGGAGCCTTGTATTCTAAGACAGGCAAACACACAACAAATAAAGAAGTCAATAAATACAGTAACGGGATAATTTCTAAGCATGACCAGTGCTGTACAGAAAACAAAACAGGCAAGATGTTAGTGACCTAGGGGCTAGAGTACGAGTACGTGAGTGGTCAAGGAAAGCTTCTCCGAGGAGGTGACAAAGATCCAAGGGAGAGCATCCCCAAGGAGACGAAAATAGCAAAGACCTTTGGGTGAGAATGGGAAGGTCTGTTAGAGAGCAGTTTTCAAAGTGGGGTCCCCCCTTGGGGCGCCTGGGTGGCGCAGTCGGTTAAGCGTCCGACTTCAGCCAGGTCACCATCTCGCGGTCCGTGAGTTCGAGCCCCGCGTCAGGCTCTGGGCTGATGGCTCAGAGCCTGGAGCCTGTTTCCGATTCTGTGTCTCCCTCTCTCTCTGCCCCTCCCCCGTTCATGCTCTGTCTCTCTCTGTCCCAAAAATAAAATTAAAACGTTGAAAAAGAAAAAAAATTTAAAATTCAAAGTGGGGTCCCCCCAACCAGCAACATCACCTGAGAACTAGTTAAAAATGGGAATTCCGGGGACTCCTGCCTGACTCAGTCGGAAGAGCATGCAACCCTTGATCTCGGGGTTTTGAGTTCGAGCCCCACATTGGTTGGGTGATCACTTAAACATAAGTAACTAAATCGCTAACTAAAGAAATAAAGTGTAAATTCTTGGGACCCCCCCCCCCCCAGATCTACTAAACCCTTTTAGGGGTGATTGGTGATTCTGATGAACCTTCAGTTTTGAGGGTCTCTGCGGTAGAGCTCAGGGGGACAGCCATGTGTGCTCTAGCGTGCTGACGGGGAGAGGGGTAGCCCTGACCGTTAGCCTCACTCCTGCCCATCCCATTTACCGCCTGGCCTCCCCTCCTGGACGCCAGTAGGCAAGGCTGAAGGCCCTTCCAAGGTTCCTCATTGCCCTCTGGGAGGAAATTACACCTCTCAGCTGGGTTTTTGATGCCCCTCAAGATCTGCTCCTACCCAGTTCTCCAGCCTCACCCCTCACCTTTCTTCCTCTCAGATCTTACGCTCCTCCGTTCTTCCCCTGCTCCCTACTGTTCCCTTTTTTAGTATATTCGTTTCTTCATTTGGCTAATTTTCACCCTCCTTCAAAACATAACTCCGGACTCACTTCCTTCAGGAAGCCCTCCCTGGTTGCCTAATCGGGGTGAGGGACTCCTCTCTGCTTCCACCAGCCAGTCTCCATGCTTCCCCATCATTGTATTCATCACATAGATTTGATATTATCTGGAGGTAATTGATATTTGATATCAATTTGATAGGTTTATTGAGGTGTAATTGGCACACATATAACATCGTATTCGTTTCAGGTGTACAACATAATGATTTGATATATGTATATATTGTGAAATTATCGCCACAATAAGTCTAGTTAGCACCCACCACCTCACATAGTTACAAGTTTCTTTCCTTAATGAGAACTTTTAAGTTCTAGTCTCTTAGCAGCTTTCAAATATACAATAGACTCTGATAAACTAGAGTCACCCTGCTGTCTGTACATTACGTCTTCAGAACTCATAGCTGGAACTTTGTACCTTTTGACCCCCTTCACTCAAGTTCCCCCCCCCCACCCCCACCCCCCAGGTTGGTTTTTTTTTTTTTCAACGTTTTTATTTATTTTTGGGACAGAGAGAGACAGAGCATGAACGGGGGAGG